AATATGGGTGGGGGTAGAGTGCCAGGGGGAAAGGGAAGTAGGGAGTGGGAAGGAAAATGGAGGGAGAGAAGGAGGAGGGATGGAAGTAGCGAAAACATGCAATGTCTCACATACACACACAAACACACACACATACAAACACCCACCGACACACACACACAAACACCCACACGCACACACACACAAGATGTCACCGACTCAGTCATACCAACCACCCAATGTGTGTCACCCACCCTGAGCTACTGACACAAAATATTATCATGGTGCTATTATTATGGCCTATATCAGATTTATATCAGATTTCAATCATAATGAAATGTAACCAGTTTGTAATTCCCCACTTCATGGTGCTCCACAAAGGATCAAAATTTTTCCAAACAGCCCGGCCATTTTCCTAAATTTAGACATTTCCTTTTTTTTTTTTAAGTGTATTCAAAAACAACAAATAGGAAATTCTTGATTATCTCAAAAGTGCAAAAAATGAGCTGCACCATAATGGTAGCACCATGATGATGATATGCAACATCTGCCCAGAGGTACTAGCCACCCAGTGTTACGTCACCCACCTGGCTTGTCGAAGTCGGATCTGCCTCTCCTTGAGCTGCAGATACTTCTGGTAGGCAGGGCTGCCCTGACGTACACCTAGCACGCCTTGCACACACTGTGATGCTGTTCTGGATGCAGCCTAGATGGGAGGAGGGGGCAAAGGGAAGACTGTTAGTGACGGCAACAATTTTGGGACACAATACAATCTTCATCGTCATGGAGTTTATCTTTAAAAAGTATGTAAGTGATAATCAATCAATACCGGAAGCCAAATTTTCTCCCCCTTTTTCAGTAGGCTATCCTTTAGTTCTCCAATATCAATATCATGCTCACTAACGTCAAATGCACTTTCCCCTCCATGAGATCATTTGATTGTTATTTCACTGAATTTCCCGCTGTAATAAGAACTGATGCCGTTCTACTTGTACAAAACATAACGTTGCATGCCAGATATGTCTGCCGCACAACAGATGGATCGACCATAATGTGCACTGAAGCCATCCATCATTAATCACCTTGATCTGACCCAATTCTGCCGATGGGCACCAAGCATAAGCCTGTCTATAGCATTTTATCCAACCATATCGCAAACAGAGTTTCTATACATTTAAAAGACCAAGACATTCTCCGCCACCCTGTCTGTAACAAAAGTCTCCATACTGGACTACATATCATCAGTTATAACACAGCTGTTCAAGTCACTTTTTGTCGTTTTCAGAAAACTTTAAACAACACTTTCCAACACCAACCATGTGAACTGATCAAAATTAGTATGCAAAAAAAAAAAATGCTTTCTTTAAAAGAAACAAGTAACTGGCATTTTTGACCCTACCACCACCACCACCAATAATTTAACCCCTGTTAATATGACTGAGACGACAAGCAAAAGAACTCGGAACTCTCTGCAACTGCCCACAGACCCAGGAGGCAGGAAGAACACTTACAGGCTGGAGAGAGGCGGGTTGCTTCATGCTCCTGTCAGAGCAGTCCCCCAAAGATGAGTGAGTGGATGTATTCAGGACATGGGTGGACGGCACTGGGCTGGTCATCTCAGAGCGGTCACCATGGTCTCTGGGAGGCTGCGGGGCAGTGGTCCTTGTCCCGCCTCGCAGCCCACCAACCCCCTCACTGCCACCTGTCCGAGAAGGAGGGGGAGTTTAGTTTAAGAAAGAGTTTTACAACACTTGCAACACAATAAGGTCATATAAGAATAGAGGTGTTACCAGAGAGTAATAAACACAAAAAGGAAGGAGGGGAGATAACAACGATAGACGTTTGATAGGAAAGAAGAAACAAACCACACCAGAGCATGCACCCGCCAAACACGCACCGGGGGGGGAGTTACACACCCAGCATAACAACATCACAGATATACACAGAACATGATAAAGACACGGTAATACACAAAACACTATTACAATACTATCCACACAAAATCATGAAAATACAGCCTACTGATAAAATCGTGAAAAAATTCACGACCGCATCAGGCGAGATTCGAATATGAAAATCGTGGATCCCACACTTATTTGATAAAATGACCATCTACGGTAAAAAATGTACTACAGTATTATTTCTAAAAGGTAATAGACTAGATTTATCAATTAAGTTTATGTCTTGAACGCCAAATGACGGACGAAATCAGTTTTTCCCTCTCCAGTAAAATTTGCTTCGAGTGGAATTCACGATTTCATTAGGCGAACGACAATATGCAACACACACACACACACAGATGTGTCCCACACATGACACAGTACACAGTTTAAGTCAAGCCTTTACCACGATTGCGACTTCTGCTGCGAGATCTGGACCTAGAACGTGACCAGGAGGACCCATCATCGCCATGACGATGTCGCACGTGCCGGCGTGGCCTCCTAGCGCGGCCTACACGAAAGTCACCACGCGTCATCTGACAGCTTTGGTCACTGCCATAGCTGCTGTCGTGGAAAATCATCTGACAAGAAAATAGAAAACGAGTCAATGAATTCAGAAAAAGATATGTTTTTCTGCATATCGATAATTCTGGTGGCACTGACCTCCAAGTCATTTTTATAGAGACCTCAAAATTTTTTTTACGAAGGTAGCAGTCAATATTGTTGAGATCATGACAGCACTGGATTTCAGTGATTGATAATTAAATTTTTTTTTTAATTACTGGTTTCAATCACTATACATCATTATAAAAACACTCCAGCATTGAGCAATTAGTTTCTTATTCCACTTTTTTTTTTAATGTGTCGTCTGGTCAGTATAGGTTCAAAGCTGCACGGATAAAAGCAGATGTGAAAATAAGAAATAATCATAATGGTATCCGCTGTACACAATGGTTGTCGAATCTCTCGTTCTGAATATCAATGGTGCTAGGCTCTCACAGTGGAACTGATAGAAATACGTCAACCTTTTTTTGGTTATAAAACCACAGCCAAAGTTGATCAGGGGTGGGGTTCAATAAAAATCAGGAGTTAGTTAGCACTATAGATATGTGTCTTTTCTCATCATTGAAATTAATAGGCTGGGTTTTTTTTTTCATTTTGCCTGTTGAAAAATGTCTTAGAAACCAATTACATGGTTAGAGCATTTACAATAATAATAAATAGCATTTGTATAACGCATAACCTGGAGAAGAATCACAGAAATCGATGTACAGAAAAGTGGGAAGACATGGAATAACATCAAGAGGCTAGCCCAGGATAGAGGAAAGTGGAGGGTGTTTGTCCTATACCCTGGTGCAGGGTGAGAAAGGCAATGATGATGATGCCCCCACTCAGCAGCAGGCTCTATGCGTTTTACACTATATTATACACTACACTATACAATAACACCATCAATATTTTTGTTACATTGTAATGTGAGTGTGGTGTTTCACTTAACTTACTCATAAATGCTACATCCAATAAAATAGCCAAAGTATGCTCTATATAGATGAAAAATGGTGCTAGTGTCTACTGAAAAATTTTCTGGTCGTAATTTCTACATCCCCTACTTAAATGAAGGCGCTGAAATATGTGCAGTAAACAAAAAACAAGTGCATCCATATTAACCACGTTTTGGAATGGGTATCTAAATTCTTCATGTGACCAAAGGTATGAAAACTTCACAGCTTTCCAATCTATCATAATAATAATAATAATAGATAGCATTTGTATAGCGCATATCCCCACTCAACAGCAGGCTCTATGCGCTTTACACTATATTATTACCCCAGCAGACCATAGAATACTCCCGGG